ACACTGCTCAGAAATAAGAGTGTGCCACCATTTAAACACAGACTCCATTACAGATTGTGACTTCAGTTCCTCCCATAACCTTGGGGGGGCTATAGGAAAGACTATAAGCTCTCTATTACATATTTTGGTGAATGGATTTACTCATCTCCTTGGAATATCAAACTCCTAATAGAAGAATAACTTTTCATGTCATGTTCTCAGGCTAAATTCTGCGCACAGTACAACATTCAGAGAGAACAGGAACAAAGCTAATGTCACCTGCTGGAGACTGCATCTTGTTGCCATAGCAACCCAATTTATAAATTAGTGCCTAGACAACTGATCAAAGTTGGAGTGTCTTTAAAAAAATTGGAAAATAAGTCCTCAAAAATGCAATGTAAATGTTAATGCTTTATCTAAAAGAGTTTTAAAAAGGGAATTGGACAGCTTCATCCTTTGGTGAAATATAACTACTTCATAAAAATTTTTAGAAATTGTTGAGTCAGGTGATGGTGGTACATGCTTTTAATCCCAGTACTTGGGAGGCAGAGGTAGGTGGATCTCTATGAGTTCAAGGCCAGTCTGGTCTACAGAGTGGGTTTTAGGACAGCTAAAGCTGTTACATAGAGAAACCTTGTCTGGAAAAAAAAAACAACATTGTTTCTTGAGATTATCATACAATTATACCCTTTCCCCTTCCCCCATGCTCTTTTTCAAATGCATGGTTTCTTTTGAAATTAATTTCTGCTACATAATATGTGAATGCATATATTTATTTCTAAATACACAAATACAGCCTGCTCAGTCTATATAATGTTATTCATGTGTATGTTTTCGGGGTTGACAACGGGTAGATAAGGAGATCTGGGAGCAGGAGAAACAGTCTTCCCATGGTGGAACACACCAGCCCGTTACCCAGCTCCAAATGGTCAGTCCTGAAAGCTTCTAAAGCATTTACAAGTAAATACAGAAAATATAAATTATTTACAAATGCAAAACCAATCCAGGTGCAGTGACTAAGGACTGTAAATCTGGCACCTGGGAAGCTGAAGCAGAAGGATTGAAACGAGTCTGAAGATACCACAGATCACACAGTGAGCTCTACACCAGGCTAGGCTCCACTGTGAGGTCCTGTCTTTAAGAAATTTTAAAAAGCACGTGTTAATAACAAATAGTTTTAATATGTACAATTACTATCTTAGATTTTGTAGTGTATTCATGTTTTATTTTACTTACAAAATAACACGTGATGTATTGTTATTTATCACTCAATAAAAGCATCGAGAGTTGAAGGAAGGTCAAGTTTATCATTCACTCCTTCTGCTCTATATCATTAATAGAGTAAAATCTTTCTCTCAGGGAACCAACTTAAGAGCCACAGTGACTTTCCGGGGGAAATAGTCTATGACATTGTGTTCTCTTGGTTTCAGAGTCAGGAGCACCAGCCAATCAGCAAACACTTACTTCCCATCTATTGTAGGGTTTCAAACTGAACAATACAAGACTTCTGCACATGCTGTGATTAGATACAAATTGTGTGTACAGGTAAAACGTGTCTTAACGAAAAAGAACGAGTTTTACTATTTATTCATTTATGTATATATGTACATTGCAGAATTCAGATTTGAATGAATGTCATTATTTTGGAAGTTTTTATCTTCCAAATATATGCAATGGGCACTGAAGCCTTGCTCTCAGCCACCTCCTTTGTAGGCCACCACACGACTGTGCTTGGGCACAACGTGGCTCTTTGTTCATTACGTTCCCAGGTCACGACCTTCTTCCCAGACTCACTGAACTCTGACCCTTGTACAAGGATGCCACCATTTCCAATTCACACCAGACAGCATCTTCATTCCTTCAGGATTTAAAACTCACACTTCTTCTCCTGAAGAACTTTGAAAATTTCTGCATGTCGCGAGCAGAAAGTCAATTGCAGAGGCAACAGGTAACAAATAATGAACACAGTTCTGATGACCTGTCTCCACCCCTTCAGCCACAGGCAGGAGATGGTGGGCCCTTGGCAGTGCCAATAGCTCCATACCCCTCAAAGCTCCTGCACTGAGGTATGAAATGAAACGAAATTTATGCCCCGGCGATGCTGAAGCAGGCACGGGCAGTCCGTATATGGCGGTTCTGTTGAACTTGTCCATATTGGGTTTTATGATCTAAGTTGATGAGGGTGACTGACCAGGTCTCTCCCTCAAGAGGGCACCAGATCTCAGTGCAGAGTGGTTGCTGGGAATTGAACTCAGGACCTTTGGGAGAGCAGACAATGCTCCTAACCACTGAGCCATCTCTTTAGGGGAAAGGTGTAGTGACTCCTAAAGCATTCTTCCTGATACAGACTGCCAACTTCTGAAAGCGTCTCGTGGTTTCAGCCTGACTGAGAGTGATTTAGGACCACGCATGATGATGGTGCTGGTGACTCTGCAGGGATAAGCATGGTTGATTTAGGAAGAAGGGATTTTAACATATGACACCTCTAAGCTTGTTTATGACCTCACTTAGTCACTGTGATTTAGAGATTTTCATGTGTTCCTGATTTTCCAGTTTTGAGCCCGAGAACTGCCAACATTAGATTCTTTTAGAAATATGACCTTAGATTGATAGTCCACAGATTTGGGATGAGAACTGATTTTGCAATTCAATGGTTGCTGAATTAGGCTTGAAGGGGAGAATTCAAGGAGGAGGTTCATAAAAAGAAGACACCTGACATTCTGAGGATTGTATAACATTAAGTTCAGTGTTTTGTAGTCAAGGTTTTTGATTAGTTAACATGTATAGCAATGAACAAGGCAGATGACTGGGGTAATATACAAAAAAAATATGAAAAATTAAGACAGCAAAGTAGTCTGATAACAAAAATTCATTATTAACAAAGGAGGCTGGTATAGAAGTGCAGAGATATGGTAGCCATCAAATAGATGGGGATAAACAAAGATGGATAAAATGAAAGAGTCTCTGAAGTTACCCGAGTTGTTGAGTCAGAACTGAGGGATTCTTCCACCCTTTATGGAGAGTCGAAGATCATCCTCGGGGTGTTGCCTGACTGATGTCATCCTGGACATGGTCGTTGTAAAGCCATAAGTGTCCTCTCTAGAGAAAAGCCCTGTCTACTGCTCCTGCCTTTAATAGCACAACTATTCTGTCCCTTTGTCTCTGGCTCACACGTGACAAAGTGCTCTGCTGAGCATGAGAATGACCACAGTGACAGCAGAAAGCTCATCTTGCGTCATACCACCTCCTGTGCAGAAGAATGAAGATCACCAGTGGCTACCAGAGCCAGCGGGCTGAGGGGCGTTCCAGGATGCAAGTTGGGTGCTTCTTTCTATCATTTTTTCCTTGTGAACAACACATATTGAAATTGAGAAGTAACGTGGTAAAACAGATGGAAAAATGTTTATAACCTTGGAAAACATTCAAAAGCAACAAGACAGGGCAAGGATAGGGCCAAAGATGTCAAGTTCACATAGTAAGTGACCTCAGATAAACACTATTTCTATGGAACAGTCTAGCAAAAGTGTTGTGTCTCTTTATAATTAGGTGACAGCAAGGTTTATGTCTTCTTGATTTTTCTCATCCTAGCTTTGGCACGCAGGGGATGTAGATGCACTGCAAGATCCAGAATGTTAATAACATAAGTCAATATGAAAAGATGGATGTGTTAGTGACTTTATGCATCGCTGAAAGTTTGTAAAAAAAAAAACAACATGTAGAGTGTCTACTGAAGAAAACTGCAGGGAGTGCATGCAGCTAACCTGAGAGAGGGTATGTATACCATGGTTTACAGTGTCCTAGGCATGGAACAGGGCAAGCCCACTAGAAAGAATATTGTGATACTGCATGCCCTACATGTTGGAAATTAAATACAGAAGTTAATATTTTCAGTGTGGGTTTTGGTCTTGCTCAGGTTGAAACTGTCTTTGTTATCTGCCTTTATATCTCCATTTGGGGAATAGTTGTAATGTCTGCCTGTACTACATATACTATGGTACTATGCCTGAGTGTGGTGCCAGGAAAAGGGCTGAAGATTTAAACACATACACACAAGAGACATGGGGACCTGGGTCATCCTTGAAACAAGAATGCCAACTTTATTGTGCTCCAGGGAAGCATATATAGGGGCCCTTAACTGATAGTCATGCCCCAACTGTAAAACGCACCAGAAACCACTCCCCTGCCATCAGGAACTCAAGAGGGTCTCATGCTCAGAGCAGCTGCAGGCACAGGTAAACAAGTTGTTTTGCTCAGTTCACTCCCGCAGGCCAAGGGTCTGAGGCAGGCAAAGCAAGTCAAGGGGCCAGGGGTCTGCAGCCCCCAACAGATAGAAATACTTGTGCCATGCAACTATATACTGCAAGTAAGTTTCTATTGTATTTTACAGGAGCTCACAGCTAAGAGTGTGCCTTGAGTTTGATGAGCCTTTGGACTTTCGAACAATGTTGGAACCTTTAAGACGTTGGGCACTCATGACATTGGATTAAGTGCATTTTGCATTATGAGATGGTTGTGGGAGTTTGGGGACCAGAAGTAGAAAGTTGTGGTTTGAACCTGGAAGAGCCTTTGCAGGCTCGTATCTTCAGTGACTGTTTCTCTGGGTGGTTGTGCTATTTTGGGAGACCCTTTGTGACATGGGGCATGGCTGACGGAGCGGATCTCCAAGGTAGAGCGTGGAAGGTGATAGCCTGTTCCCTGCTTTCTACCACACTCTGTCTTCTAGACTGTGAGAATAGACTCTACCTCACATCCCCACCAGCAGGAAGGCAGGCACATGGCCATGCCTTTCCTCAGGGTCAAGAACAGAACTCCCTCCAAACCACGAGTCAATACAACCCCTTCCTTCTTCAAGCAGTCTTTCCAGGAGTTCGGTTGCAGTGATGTAAAACTAACTGGCATAGCCCTACAATCAACCCCTCCATTAAAAAATTAAGCAATATAGTATAGCTAAGGCAAGAGGTGGCTCAGCATGTATCAGCGTTCCTCAGTAGAGTAGACACTACTCACCCTTCTCAACAAGGTCACTTCTCAAAGCAGGGAGTGCACATTAGTATTTCAAAGAGGGTAAAATGATTGGGTTTCCTAGCTCTCCCACAGTTCACGGAATCTCTTGAAGATTTCAGTAGTGTGCTAGAGTATAGCAGAGGAATGTGATGGCTTACAAAACAGCCAGGACCAAGTTAGGAGTTTAGCCTGTGCCCTCGGCAGTTCACATCCTGTCCTCCGATTCTCATTTCCTTAAAAGGAATGAGAGCTGTGGCTGGGGCTGGGGCTCAGGCAGAGAGCACTTGTGAATCCCTGGTTCTTGTGTTCAACATTGGAAAGACGCATGTTAACTGCATATCGTTGGAAGGAAGACAGATGCTGCAGGTAGCAGACAGCACATGAATCTGTGAATGTAAAATGGTAGCTATTATCATTATAACCGTTATCATCATCATCACAATCACTATTATCATGATCAACCATCGCCATTATCCGTCATCAGCAAAGCGCTTCCCCACGCGAATTCTGCTGCACATTAATAACAGAAGAGCTAAAATCATCTCTTCAGAACAGCACAGTGCAGCGGCAGAACCGCCCATGCTTGAGCTGTATTTATTTGAAATCTGGACATGCCCACATCCATCACTGTACAAATTGAGGCATCAAGGGAATTTTTATAAGCAGCAAAGAGCATACCCTTGAAGTTCAGTTTCTTTTTCTACACAAAAGGATAAACTTAACCTTCTTAAGATTTGTCCAAGTTAAAATACAAAACTATTTTAAATCTTCTAAATTTGTATTTTATTTTTAATTAAAATATAATCACATCATTCCCCCTTCCCTTCTCTCCTTCCAGCTGCTACCGCATCCCTGCCTTCCGATTTCTCCCATGCCCTCCACTTCCTCCCTCTTAAATTGATCACATCTTTTTATTCGACCGCAACTGTTACACATGTATAAATGCACAAATGTTTAAATAAAACCTGACATGTCTGTTTAGTGTTGGTCATGTACATATGATTTCAGAACCACCTGGCACTGGATAACCAATGTGGGGGCTCATCCCTGGGAGAGACATTCTCCTTTCACTAGGCTTTTGTTGTCTGTAGCTCTTTGTATAGGGTGGAGGCCCTGTGAGCTTTCTCCTGTTATTCAGGGTTTGTTTAAGCGACCATGTTGAAGAGACTCATAGGTGTAGCTTCTCTGATGTTTCTCGGAGACATACACAGCAGACTTCTTGTTTTCCTGGCAATGTGCCCTGAGCCTTAGATGCAGCGGTGGTATTGTAGATGTACTGGTTGATGCTGAGCACCAAATAGCTAGTTATCCATTATTCTGGGGGCTTCCTATCCAAGCTCAGGATTCCAGCACAGCCGGGTTCTGATGAGAGAGCTCTGCTTCAGGTTGGAGACTGCAGATTTCAGGTTGATTCTTAGATGATAGAAAGAGCACTCGGCGAATGATGCTCTAAAGACTCTCGAATCAATTTGCGTTGCCTACAGTTGGGGGAAAGATAAGAAGTACAAACACCAAGAATAGGGAGGAAGTGCTAAGCTTCTGTGGCTATTCGTGAGACAGCTTTATCCGAAGACTCCTTAAGGGACGAGAGTCCTGATCTCGCTGGATGATGCACAAATCCAGGTGGACAGGTAAACTGAGGAAGGCCTGCGACTGGAGAATTTGCTGCTTCTGTAGCCAGCAGCCAGCATTGCAGTCTTTTCGGGAGCTGTCAGTTCCAGCAAGGGCCATGTGATTCTGTCTGCTTTTCAGTATTGGAAGATACATAAATAGTATCGAGAAGTGAGCCAGGGAAAAGAAGAACCAGCCACTGAGCTCAAATTCCTCAAGATGTGTGGGGAAAAGGCCGTGGTGGCTCCTCTCAGCGCCACCACCAGGCAGAGCCTTTCCTCCCCCAGCCTAACCGTGGTCAACCCAAGCACATACCTTTGCTTCGTATATCCTTCTTTATTGGGTGAAAGGAACAAACAAAACGGCTATGAGATAAGTACAAAAAGCTGTCCACAATGGAAAACAATGACCCAGTGTGATAATACTTCGGCATTTATTTCAGAGTAAAATACATTTATCCTCAATGCATCGAGAATACGTAATCACAGAAAAGTCCTTTAGTGACAACTATTAGTCACAGAGCTGTGCATGCTCAGAACAAGATTTGGGAAACCAAGAACGTAATGATTTTCAAGTCGAATTGACCAGCTCTGGTCTAATGTAAGGCCTGAGTCGTCTTCATCAGGCGCTGGTGTGGGAGAATTGTCTGTATTCTGTCAATCATATTTTAATAAAACACTGATTGGCCAGGCAGACACTATAGGCGGGAAAGCCAGACAGGAAGTAGGGGTAGAGCAAAGAGAACGGGAGTATTCTGGGAAGCAGGAAACTTCCTCAGTCAGTTCTGCCCAGACCACCGGAGAGGAAAGATGTAAGCTGCCCCGCTGGAAAAGGTACTGAGTCGTGTGGCTAACATACATCAGAATAATGGGTTAATATAAGTCATAATAGCTAATAAGAAACCTGAGCTAATGGGCCAATCAGTTTATAATCTTATGAAGTCTTGTGTGTGATTTTCTTTGGGCTTGCCAGCTGTGGGGTACTGGGCGGGACAGAAACCCCAACAAGCCGGCCCTCATGTTACAGATGGCGCCCACATGGATAACTGAATCCACAGAAAGCCTGAGAAAATTTGGGAAAGAATAGAGTAAAGCATGTTTTCTTGTTGGCAGCAATTTCTCGGGTCTGCTCTGCTTGCTAGAGGCAAGCAAGCGTTCTCATCTAAGAGAGGCTTCCTGACTCAGCTTTAGCTGCAAAACCCTGCAGCTCTTTTAAGAGGTCCTGCCATGAAACACTTAAACTGTGTTGAGGAAAAGCTGAACACATGCTTTTTGGCTTTCAGTCATAGCAGGAAAAAAGCTGTGCTGCTGTTTTAAAATACCAGTTTTCTGGGCTGTCCTGCGCAGACAAACTCTGACTCTTGCAGACAAACTCTTGAGGCAGGCAGTTCAACTGAGTGTGGTCTGTGAGCAGAATGATGCAGCTTGCTTGCTGGCAGGGACCTTGAAATGCCATAGAGTTGTGGCAATAAAAATGGCTGCAGTAGGTACCTTAGCCATGAGGCTGGAAAGCTAAGGAATGGACTGGATCCACCTGTCAAAACCACGGTTTTAGACTCATGTGGTCAGAAAAAGCGAGATATACAGTAAAAAGATATTCAAAGAGGAAGAAAACCTCTAAATGGTTTACTATGAGTTAAAAATATATGTAGGCTAAAGGTTAAAGTTCTTAGGGTAAAAAAAAGAAGAAAGAAAGTAGTTGGGTATGGTAGTACACACCTTTAATCCCAATGCCTGGGAGGCAGAGACAGACAGATCTCTGTGAGTTCAAGGTGTTGTAGCATACATCTTTAATCCTAGCACTGGGGAGGAAGAGACAGAGGGATCTCTGTGAGTTCAAGGACAGCCTGGTCTACAGAGTTATTCCAGGACAAAGATATACAGAGAACCTGTCTCAAAAAGTAAAAGTAAAAATAAAAGAAATAGAGGTTAAAGTAAAGCCTCATAAAGATGGAAAATACACAGAGAATCTTGATACTGTATGCTATTATGCTCTCTTCGAATTGTTTGAATGCTGAGGAAGGAGCAACAGCTGCTAAAAGATATTTGCTTATAAATTCTGCTGAACTAACCCAAGATAGGTATTTTGAAAATACCTTGGCTTCAAAACTGAAGTCAAAAGGTATGTTACTTTGGAGAAGAGATTTTGTTTTTGTTTCCACTGAAAATGAGAGGCTGTGGATTCATTCTGAGTTAAGAAAAATCAGGTTTGATAAAGGAAGACCACCTGAGAAATCTCTGGTAGGAACAGATGGCCCGGATGTCTGAGTTCTACATCCAGAACTGATTCAAGATTGCTGCCTGAGATGACTGAGACTCACAGGATACTCCAGACAGGACTTGATTATAACTCTAAATTTTCTTTAGGTCCTCATAAGATCATCAGCACCCCCAACCAGCAAGAAGTAGCCTGAAATACTATGCCCACATTCCCAACAAATGGACTATGGGTATTTTCCTTTGTTTAAAAAAAAAGAAGAGGGAAATGGTGTGGGAGAATTGTCTGTATTCTGTCAATCATGTATTTTAATAAAATGCTGATTGGCCAGGCAGGAAGTATAGGCGGGTCAACCAGACAGGAAGTAGAGGCGGGGCAATGAGAATAGGAGAAGGCTAGAGAGGAGGAAGCTCCCTCCGCCATTCCTGTGCAGACCACTGAAGAGACAGCATGTAACCTGCCCAGCTGAAAAAGGTACTGAGCCGTGTGGCTAACATAGATAAGGATAATGGGGTAATATATGTTATAAGAGCTAATAAGTAGCCAGAGCTAAGGGCCAATCAGTTTATAATCTTATGGAGTCTTGTGAGTGATTTTCTTTGGGGTATGCCGGATGTGGGGTACTGGGTGGGACAGAAACCCCAACAAGCCAGCCCTTGTGTCACAAGGCACTACCTACAGATGACAGACGGCAACAGGTGATCAGGCGGTAGGAAGCAGAGGGTGAAACGGCAGCTAGGTCCTGGGGCACAGAGCACACAGAAGCAAGGGCTGGGCATGAGTGGATCTGAATGGCCTGCACCATAGACGTGAATGTGGGAGAGGGAGGCATCTTACCGCTGAGCGAGGGAGGAGGGCAGCTCTCACCACTGAGCTAGGGAGGAGGACAGCATCTCACTGCTGAGTTAGGGAGGGGCCAGCATCTCACCGCTGAGCTAGGGAGGAGGGCAGCTCTCACCCCCCTGAAGCCTACTCCCAAGACAGCTTAGAGAAAGTAGCAGGGGTACAAAGCCTCATCCTAAGTTCCCAGGATGTAGCTCTACTTACTTGACAGGCAGCTGCGTCACCTCCCCATGTGGGAGGGAAAAGGTGCCTGCAACAGAAAATATAATAAAGCAATCCAATAAAATTTTTGCTACTGTGGTAGTTTTTTAAATTGTTGACCAAGGCTGATTTGAGATGTTCTGGTAATTCTTTTCTTCCACAGCAGAAGTGACATAGTCCTCTGATTTAACAGCTAATGAGGGCATTGCCTGGGGATAATAGAGAATATTATTTATTATTTTATTTGCTTTTATTCAGTTAGCTCACCATGTGGGCTCCTGTCCTATTAACACAACCTGACAAGGTCCTATGATTACATTTAAACGTCATTGTCAGGTATCCGTCCTTGCTGTTGGTATCTGCCTGAGGTTCTCATGCCTAAAATGATTTCTATCTTTCCCTTCTATTGAAGTAGCAGTAATTATTTTACTTTCATGCGCTCTTATTTTAAAGCCTGCTTTGTTTTCTTCTCCTTTGTCTTTGTAAGAAGCACACTACTCAGTGACACGAGCTGACATTTCCATAATGCCAGCCCAGTGAAGATAGCATTCTTCAAGGACGGCAGTTACTACTGGGTCGTTACATGGTGGGCACACTAATAAAACAAGACAGAGTTCCACATGAAAGACCCGACATCGGAATGTCGAGTGTGGGTGCCTTCTGGTCTGGGTCATCAATTTCAGCGTGTCACCTCCTTTCCATGATCAACGCCTCTAAAGCATTCCTCCAGATTTTTTGTTTGGTTGGTTTTTTAAAACAGGGTTTCTTTGTGTAACCTTGGCTGTCCTAGAACTAACTCTGTAGAGAAGTGGAAAAAGATGTTAACATAATTCAGTCGCCGCTTTATGAGGGCGCTTCGACCAATAGTTCTGGCCTAGACAATAAATGGTTGACTAGAAAAGAACTTGAGTTGCTGTTGCACTTCACACTTAGATGAAGCCACTGAATTCTGCTCTTCGCAAGCCTGCTCCTCAGAACTGCAAACCAAACATTTCCTCAGTGTTCCGCAAACCAGGCAGCTAGAGAGAGCCCCAGTATTTCCTCAGCTGTCAGCCCTGAGTGCAGACTGTCCTGGCTCTCTGAATAAGGGAAAGACCTTGGTAGCTGGGGAAACGCCCTTGCTGATAATTGCAGTCTTTGCTGCTGTAAATGTGCTTAATTGAATTCTCCTGGGACACAGAAACCTGCATAAACTGGGAGGAACCGCCGGCGAGGTGCTGGACTTCTAGAAGATGCTTCCACATGAACGAAACTGATCATAGAGAAGAGCAGGCAGCTCCTTTTCTCTCTTGGAGCGTGATTCCAAACACCAAAGGCAGAAAGCTCACCATTCAGCTCTGCATTATTGCCCCTTGGCTATGGCTTCCATCTTCTCCTGGCAGTGTGGCTGCTTCACCTTCAGGCATCACATCTGTATTCCACTCTTTCAAAGCAAGAGGAGGAAAGGGCCCAAAAGATCAGTTCAACTCAGCCTGCGGTGCATCACCTTGCTTAACCCCAAAGGATGGGTCTCCAGGCAGCAGAGGAACAGTCAGCTGGAGCCAGGAGCCAGGATTCTGAAGCATGATGCCCACCCAAAAGACGAAATCTGAAGGATGAGGGGACGGGGGTCCACAGGGTCTGAGCTGAGGTGTCCAGCTATGTCTGTGCATTCTGCTACCTCACAGTAGCTTGAGCTACATGTCTGTCTGAAGAAGGACCCTTTGGACTACGTCCATCTCCTCCTCTGTGGTTACCACAGAAGCAACAGGCCATTCTGGTTCATAAAGTGCCTTTGCACGGTGCTCCGTAAATCGTTCATGTGTCTGCTCGTCGCCTCTGGTGTGGGGAAAGTAGGTCAAGCGTAACTCCCATAACAAGTGTCCTGTGCAGAGCACTGGCCTGTAGCTTACAGCAGAAGAGGCCTCACCCTGCCCTGGTTTGCACATGGCTCTGACGTCTCCATTAGACACATGAATGATGACCCCTGTTAGAAGTAAAATTAATCCACTCACATCTTCTGCATGGCATCTGCTGTCCCCTGTTTCATTCATGAAAAATAAGTTCGTGATTCTAGGAGAGTGTTCCAAGTTCCACTTGGTGGCTTTATATCAGGAAAGCAGATACAGCCTGTTTTTAATGACACAAAAATATCCTTCTGTGAGACACTCCGGAAGGTTCTGAGGAGAGCGCACCTCGATCCTGTCTTGTGTGCAAGTGTAGAGATGAAAGCCCAGAAAGGCACTTTCCCCCAGTGTGCAGCAGATTCCTGACTTCCCACTGTGGAGCCCTTCCCGCTTCCTTTCTCTTCCTCTGGTCTCATGGACACAGCTTCCTCTGGGCCCTCACACATAGCCATTTGTTAGAGCCAATTTATTCTCCCTTTACAATATCAACCTAGAAACACTAATTATATCTGGGACTCCCAGAGAAGGCATGTTTCCATGTCAGTGAGAAAGCCACCTGTTTTATAGGTGCTGCCTGTGTTCCAGACATGAACGACAGCCAATGTCAGGCTTTCAGGGGTAATTTAGTGGCACGCCGAGGCTAAGTGGGTTCACACAGAAATTCATGCTGTGTTCTGTTATTCTAGGACTGCTCCTCCAGTGTTATTTTCCTCACATTAAAGAACCTTAAATCTAATGAAATGGGCCCCACTCTCCCTCCTCTTCTCACTCGTATTTCCTATGAAACACACAGCATCAGTACCCCTTATGCATCTGAAATACAACCATGCCTTTCCTGGTGCCTGGGATATATCATCTCTCCCTCTGCTAGGACCTAGCATTTCAAGTTGAAATGAATTGCAGATTTATAGGCTACATTAATTTCCCTCAGACCAGCTCTGTGCCAGATCAACCGCTGGTGAGAACAACAGCTTAATTAAATTACAGCTATAAATTATAACCACTTATCAACACTACGAAAGCCACATTCTGTGATGGGTTTTTCTTTCTCTTATTTTTCTCCCAGTTTGGAATGAAGAGGATTGAGTAAATAGATCGCATGATAACCAAATTGTTCTTTGCTTTTCTGTCCCGTATGTGGCCTTAGTGTGCCGAGTGGTGATGTAACAGCAATACCTTGACTGGGTAATCAGTACAGGTCTGTGAGCTAGCTTTTCTCAGATATGGAGACTGGGAACTCTGCTGCCAACTGGTGTCCCTTGAAGATTGTTAGGTCCTAACCCAGTGGAAGGTGGGAAGTCGAATCCTTCCATCTCCCCTTTATGATGCTGTGGAATCCGCTTACCTAGGACTTGACCTCCAAATACTCCCATCAGCTACATCTCCAACACTGTTGCTTAGACAGTTACATTTGCCAGTGAAGCCTGCAGACCAAAGGCATTATGCCACCACTTCATGGTCATGTTCATAAATAGGCTAAATGTAAACAAATCTGCCCCTGTGTTCTCTTCCCCATGGGTCCGAAACCCTCGCCCTTGGGCAATATTTTCTTGTTCTAAACCTTGCTTCTAGCAGGACGAAGGCCCAGACACATGAGAGTCCATGTAAAGGGTGTACATATTCAGTACATAGATGCCATCTCCATTTAGCGAGAAAAGAAAAAACTCTCTCCTCCCTCCCCACCAATGGGCCACTTAGTGTGGATGCTGCTTTCTTTGTTTAATATCGCTTCTATTTCTAAAACTCAGGGCTCTCTAAATTCAAGGACGGATTGCCTTTAAGAACAAAATCACTTTTGCTATCAAATCCATTCCCCTGCAACTCCCCTCTACCTGCTGTTACTTCTTTTTCAGCACCAACAGATTTTCTCTGTCCCGAAGAAAGGCAAAAAAGATAAATCTCCACTTTGAGCAAATGTCATCATTAATCTTTTTCAAAAGGCAAAAACGTAGGAAGCCGCATTTCTTTCTAAATTGACTAATGGACTATGTTTATTAGTCAGAAACATCCTACTGGACAAAGCATGCTCCAATCCTCCATTAGGGGTCTCAGAACCGAATGCCCACAAACGAAGCCTATAGCTTGCCTGATCCATTCCTGTCCTCAAATCTCAGAGCACAGCATTGGCTTTTAAACTTTATTTTATTCTTCTTGGGAGGCGGGGGCACCAAATAAAAGTAAGCAGCCCCAGATGGGCTGAAGACGTCATACTAGCAAGGGTCAAAGGCGAGAGGGAATCAGGTCTCTACAACGTCTAGGTGACAGCTCCACCGAGAAAGCAACCAGGCATATAGTGTTTAGAAACATACCTTTGCTATGCCTTAAATACTTAAAAAAACTTTAAAAAGTACACATTTTCTGCACCTATAAGAAATATATAATTAGCCAGGCGGTGGTGGTGCATGCCTTTAATCCCAGCACTTGGAAGGCAGAGGCAGGTGGATCTCTGTGAGCTTGAGACCAGCCTGGTCCATACACTGAGTTAAATATATATGTATGTATATGTATATATATGTATATACACATACATATATATCAATAAATTTTAACTATATCTATTCCAATCAAATTCCTCTAGAATGTTACTTCAACCAAACAGAATATAATTGTATAAACTATTTTTTGCTCCATTATCATTTCTGCTCAGTGATATCTCTGGGCCCACGTGAAGTAGGGTGACTCCAGTCCTCTCTGCTTTTTCTTTCTTTATACGTGTTCCTTGCGCCCAGCAAATGAATCAAAAACAAGGACAAGGTCCAAACAAATCCTAATAAACATGCTTGGAAGAGAAGCATAGAAGTTTCCAGCTAGAAGCACCAGAGTTGTGTCTTCAGGAAGCAGAGAGCATTTGTGAAAGTCAAGCCTTTTATTTCTTTGTGTTTGTTTTGAGACAGGAACTGGCCATGTAGCTGAGGCTAACCTCAAATTTGCCCAGTGTTCTTAAAATCCAGATCCTCTTGCTCTAGTCTCTGTGTGTTTTTTTTTTGTTGTTGGTGGTGGTGGTGGTTTTTGTTGGTTTTTTTTGCTTTTTTTTTTTGTATTTTGTTTTGTTTTTTCCAAGACAGGGTTTCTCTGTAACTTTTGTAGCCTGTCCTGGAACTAGCTCTTGTAGACCAGGCTAGCTTAGAACTCACAGAGATCTGCCTGCCTCTGCCTCCCGAGTGCTGGGATTAAAGCGTGTGCCACCTCCACCCGGCTTGCCCTAGTCTCAGAAGGTACTGGGATGGCAGGTGTGTGGTTTTCATGTCACAGCTACTCCTGCCCTCCCTGTTTCCTGACAACAGCGCTCATTTCTCCACTGACAAGAAGAAAACAGGGATCAGCTCGACACCAGCTCGACGGTTTGGGGGTGGAAAGAGCATATTCCTCTAGTTGTAGCTGTCAGCACCCTGCACAACTCTAGAGTCCCCCAAGGAGGCAACAGGTGGCTGTGAACAGTGAGCAGAAGTGAGGCAGAGTAGTGCAGAGGGACAAGGAGAGAGCCAGGCTGGCCAGAAGAGCTTCGTGCACGCGTGCACACGAGTGGGGTGGAGGCTTCCTGCGCCGATAAATCTCTTGTACACCCCCACAGTCTGAGTCAGGCATCCTACAACTTTCAAGATGTGCAGGGGTGGGTTGGAGGGGGAGTGGGGATGGGGTTGGTGTTCCTTCTTAACTTGCAATAGGAGACAGCAACATTTTAAATAATATTCTTGTTAGAAGTGATCTGTTACTAGGATATGATAGATGGATATGTTTAAGCCATTAATATGGGAGAAAAATTTCCCAAATAAAACACTGCATACAGGTCCTTTGAAAATGTGACTGACTGGCAAAATGATGTCCACAGTTACAAAAGGGTGACCTAAGTGATCCTGAAGGGACATTTTCAGTGTAAGAGCTTTGCTCTGTTCTCCCTGTTTCGGAAAACAAGTTACATGGCAACACAGACATGGACAAAGTACCCAGAAGGTCTCCCAGGGTTCCGAGGATAGGCAGATGGTTCTGCTGGTTTCCCTGAACTCGGCACTGTTAGATCTCAGCCACAAACACAGCCTGTAGCGGAGTTAAGTCCTTCCTGCTTGGAAAGGATGAAAGTCACCAACAAAGCTGACCCCATAGACTCCCTCCCATCCCTTAGGATGTTTAAGTTGCCAACATGGGGTTCATGGAGATGCCCCAACTGTTCATGTTGCGGCCTGTCTATTGCTAAGCTTGCCTGCCGGCCCAGGCATGTAAGAGGGACGCTAGGATAACGGGCAATGATGTGACCAGCAGCTGCTGCAGACATCCTGTGGGGGATTCATGAATGTGTGTCAGGTACCAGTGCAAGTCTGAGCAAATGGGTTATGAGCAAATAACTTGTATACTTCTGCTTGACTTGAAACTTCAGCAGTCAGACCTGAGAACATTTTGAATCTAATGAAATGACTTGAATGGCTCTAATCTTCTCAGAGTGATGTAAATCCCTACAGCAGTCCATTAAACCCCCAAAGAAAGCCATCATTCTCATCTATATTCTAGGCAACACCTTGAAACTTGTGATGTCTCTTCTTAGTTTAGAACATTTATGATCTTTCTCCGACCCATGGATTTGTTATCTAAAATAATGTTGCTTTTATTTGCTAAGTTTTCATTTTTTTAAAAGAGAAATGGCCTTGTTTTTCTGATTGAACACTTAATGGCTGTTGATGGGAATGTGCCACATTCAAATTGTTCCTAAATATCTCCCCTTTTACTCCGTATAGACTCCTAGGTGTGTCACCGCATGATGGATGGCAGTTGTATAACTTCTCCTCCTCTAGGTAATAGTCTCGAGCCCAGCTTGCCACTGCTCTCCTCTTCTGGTGATGGCGGAGAATCACCCCTGTCCTTTACTCTTGTTGTGTCAGAGTCGTGGTGTAATTGTCTCGGTGACAGCTTCCAGGTTAAAGGCCTTGTGTCAGATTTCTGCCACGTGGCGCTGGCCTCTGGTCCTTACACATTTGTCTTCTTACTGCTCTTACTGCTTCTGCTTTGCTGAGCTCTGGACAAAACTCAGCTAAACGATGTAGCTCAGATTCATAGCCGATACAGAGAGACCACTACCCAGCTAGTTCTGTCTGCCGTGGTCACTTGGCCTGTCCTGACCATGGACTTCCGGAATCTCTCCTGAGAATAAGAGCTCTCACCCGGGTGCATTGCCTTGGATTTTGTGGTCATAACTCTGACACTAGTACCGAGTGTTTGACTGAATACTTAGAAATAGGATGGGAATGTGAAAATGTATGACATGTTTTGTGTCTTAGGAGACCTGTGACAGGTGGTCATAAATCTGGATGTTTAAGATGACAGTCCTTCATTCTCAGATGTGACAAAGGCCTCGAATGTGAGACACAGTGGCTCCCACCCCCACCCCAGGGCCACATTCTGTGTGAAGTGCTCTCTGGTTCTTCCTGCTCTTAGAGTGTCTAACAATTTCCAGAGTACTTTGGCTTTGAAAGGACAGCTTCCATCTCCATCCTAACCTTCAGATAGTTTTCTGGCCTCTGGGTTACTGAGCATCCTTTTCTCAACCCACAGGCACCAGACTCTGGTTTTCAGGTTCTCCTTAATCTGAGCTGATTTCAGCTCCAGACCTAATTGTATCTTCAAAGATTTTACTTTCATATGAGAATTCTAAGGGTGGACACAATCTTGAGGAAAGGCCATTCAATCCAAATGAGACAGTAGCATGCTTCCATGGCTACAGTCTGAACAAGGCATTCAGAGTACAAAGGGAATTAAGGGCATGTCTTTAAACAGATTTGAATACTGTCTTTTTTTTCAAATTAAATTCAGCATCCCATCCCATTCTAACCAACATGAGAATGGAAGGAAATTTCCCTAAGACTATCGTATGAATCTTTGAGAGTCCAGGGTTCACATTTCATCAGTTTAGTTTCAAGATTCCAGATAGTGAGACTGCTTGTAGGCATTTGATTTTCAAAGCAGAAACAGCAACAGTGGGAGAGGAGGGCCTGGAGGGATGACTCGGAGGCTAAGGGCTATTCTTTGTATATCAGCCATTCTTCAAATAAGATCTATCTATCTATCTATCTATCTATCTATCTATCTATCTATCTATCTACATATAATCTATCTTTGTATCACCTATCTATCTACCTATTATCTATTTACCTACCCACACATGTATGCATACATTATTAAATAGATATGTGTGCAGATTATTTATATAAAATACAGACACCTTTTCACTATCTACACACACCTCTGTATGTGCTAATGCCATTGCCTTTCA